AAAAAGATAATGAAGACGACCAAATGATGGATATTGATGATGTTGATGAAGGCAGTGCTGACGAACTTGATGACGAACTTGATGACGAACACATTGATGAAGAATTATATAATGTAGAACTTCATAAATCAGCGACGCAAGAATTGAAAGTGTCAAGTTTAAAGGCCATGGGCGAAGGTAGTGATGACAATGACGATGATTTAGATAACCAAGATGAAATAATGGAAGAATTAGACTCTAAATTAATGATGTATTTTGAACAGCAAAAACTAGAAAAGGCAAAGAAAAAAGGTAGAATATATGTTTAAAATTCTTATTGATATTCATACACATATATATTGATTCACTTCACCAAATTATGTTTATTATTGTATATCTAGACGCAAAATATCAAAAAATTCATTTTAAACATAAAGTTATTGGACTATTACGGGTCTTTATTCGGTCCCAACCGACTAATCCACTGATTTTTGAACTACTTATTCCTTTGCTTGAACTTTCTAAGAATGCAAAAACCGACGAAATTGCAAAAAGTGCATTTTCTCTGATAAACTTGAAAGTCAACGTTATAAAAGATATGCCCAGCCAATTTGATGATGATCGTGTTCTCACCTTATTGCAACAAACACATCATATGGCTCTAAAAGCTTGCTACTGCGACCTGGCAACTTTGTGTTGGAAAACTAGTACCTTTCTGCTCAAATCTCTGATAAAATGTCATACAGACGACTTGAACAATGACGCAGGGGATTTGCACTTAAATAAAAAAGTAAAAAAAATCGTCAGTATTTATGAGTCTACATATGAAAAGTGGATTAGAAAGTCCGGTTGTTTAAATATGAAATCTTTTTCGGAGTTGCCAAATCACATACCTAAAATTCCATGGTACCAAACAAATATTTTCCTCGGGTTTACTGATCCAACGACCGCAAAGAATCCAAAGAAAGTAATGAATGCGTATGATATTTCAGCATCTATTTTTAATAATGCTACAGCAAAAAAGAACAAGGTAGGAACATATTGTTATAGCCACTTATTATAAAGATTATTAACATATTACTTTATATCAGGAACTGCTAGATGATAGTGTTACTAATGCACTTGTACAGAAATCGCGAGAGTCTCTCAAGGCTACATTCCAATTTGTGTCTCAGGACTTGCAATGCGGAAAGAGACACTTCGATTCTCAAACGTTAAAATCAGTAATGAAATTTGCGACTCTGGCAATGAGAAAGACAAGTGCTAACGTGCCTAAGGATAAGGTAGATAGAGAATTGATTTTCCGAATCCATGACGTTTAAAAATAATAAAAATTCGAATTGCCTAATGTAGATTAAAAGTACATGGGACGCGGATCGTCTTCAACCGTTATTAGAAAATATTAAAGAGCTTCCAAGATTCAAATCTTCACAAACAATTAGAGACTCTATTGATGAAATAATTCGTATTATTTCATGATGTAATCATGTTCAACGCTTTTTTTTTTTAAAAAAAAAGAATCTTACATTAATAAGTAATGGCTAAACTTTATTTATATAACTTCTAAATGCAAGTTGAATTGCCTTTATTATTCAAATTGTTTCAATAAATATGCATTAATTTATAAGTGTGTAATTAAACAATTATATTCATACGATGGATGCAAATATATTACGTCCGAAAAACATTAACATATATAGCAATTTATCACTATCGATAATCAAAAATAAGTATGTTATCGGCTCATTTGGCTCTATTCATTAGTCGGTTTTTATAATATATAGTTAAATAATATAGACAAAGTCAAGCCGATAACTAGTTCGATAATGAACAAAAGACAATTAAACCAAAGACTTTTAATAGCGTTGCTGTTGTAGTTGTATATTTCGTTTCAATTCCTTATGTCGATTCCATGAATTTTTAAGTATTCTAATAAATAAAAACAACAAACATAAGCAGAATTTACAACGTTACTAACACAATTACTATTAAAATTTTCTCATACCTCATCCTTTGGATTGCGAGCACTGTAATAACTGCACTACGGAATTTGTTCAATAACGGTGAGATAACACGGCGAGTGGGATTATGTAAGTCTGATATCAACAGTAAAGTTGCCTGTTCACTAAATAAAGAGACAAAGAAAACTTTCATTGTTTATACAAAGCTTAATATTTAAGGTATAGAAATAGATACTCACCATGATTCCATGCCACCAAGGAGTACCATTAAAAATTTCTTCTGATAGCACAAGTCGGCACGAAATGCAGATTCCCGGTAGCATTTTGCTTTGAGATATCGGACCTCATGAAGTAACATTTTACAATCTTCAGCGTGTTGCGCCTTGATTTCTTCATTTTCAATTGACTATTTGAAAACATATTTAATAGATAATTTACATTAAGTAAACAATTAGATATACTCACACCACCACCACGTCGTTTATTTGAAGTCTCCATCCTTTGAAGTTGCTGCTTATATTGATTTCGTTCAACCGCAAAATTATCTTGCAACTGTTCCATTTCGTCCCGAAATCTATTACATTGCTCTTGAACAGCTTGCAGTTCATCTTCATATCTTGATAATTGTTCATTTTTGGATTGGTGATCTCGCCGTTCAGATTGCAATTGGTCGGTAATGTTTTGGATTTCAACTTCGAGCGCTTTAATGTGTTCTTTCTCATCGCGAATATCAGATTCAAGGGATTCTTTTGCCTGCGATAAGTAAAATTTTTATAAAAATGGAAATAAA